GATTGGCACAGGATAGAGCAGGGTTTAGGGCTGTTGTACATAGTGAAGCTTTGAGTCGCAGACGACATGATGGCACATAACAACAACAACAACAACAACGTTGGACAAATCTACTGTCAAGAACCTCTCCAAAGTGCCAAGGAGCAAGGACATCTTTCTACAGTCCAAGGTGCAGCTGGCTGAAGCCATGGCATTTTAGGAGTTTCTCGAGTGTGTCAAAGTTGAGCAATGAATGAGAAAGACCAAAGAAGAATCGATACCTTTGAGTTGTGGTGCCTGAAATATTGATCATCCAAACTGGCCACCAAAACAGCAAACAAATCTGTCTTAGTGTGGCAAGAGTGGTCCGTAAGAGCAGGGTGGTGAAACTGTGGCACAGCTTCAAGCTTGCTACCAGGAGGAGCCAAGCCTTGGAGGAGAGCATTGTGCTGTGGGAAAGGAGAGGAAGGCCCTCATGGGAGGGTTGACATGGTAACTGAAGCAGTGGACTTGATCACACAGTGGGGGTCATGCGGGTGGAACAGGAGGGGTGAGCTTTTTACCAGACAAAAGGATCATTTCCATACTTGCGAGTTGGAGGCCAGGAAAAATTGCTTTTTAATTTAGAAATTTATTACCAGGACTGGGGAGGCAGTGGGATCCTTCCAGAAAGATCTGGAACTCCCCTTTGCACATCCTCAAGTGGTCTTTAAAGACAGTTAAATCATTTGATGCCCAGAGTCACAGGACTTGTTCTGTTACTGAAGAAACTGCTTATATCTTTACTGAAACCAAGCCTTCACTCTGACGCAGTGCTACTTCAGCCTGCTTCTAGCCTGGTCACACCATTTCCCTCTTTTCCATGGTCACAGAGGATGTCCCTTTGTCCTCAGTCCTGGAGGTGAGCAAGGCCGCTGGTTACGTCTCTCTCCAGAGAGTAACTTCCACCAAGGACTTGAAAAATGGACTTTCTCTATGACAATTCAAGGCTCAGATGACTTAACGATGTGGAAACTGTCACCTTTACAATACTTTAAGATACACGCTGGCCTAGAGACTGGCGGTGAGCTCACTGGATAGGTGAACGGTAGTTTTCAGTAAACCTCACTTGCTGTGTATTCATTACTTGCAGGGCGTCTATAGCAGATACCTTCTGGGGAATAACTCCTCTGAGAATAGCTTTATGTTTGCCGACATTGTGCAGCCTCTGGCAGAAAGGGGATTACAACTCTCAAAAAGGTAAGAAAGCAGAGTGCCTGGCTCCTCGACCTAGACCCTTCACTAGACCGTGAACGTGAGTGGGAGGCTGGCGCCACGTTTTTGCTGCCAGGCACTGTAAGTGATTTGTTTAGTAAGTCTCTTACATGCTAAGCCTAAGGTAATTAGAATGTTTTCAAAAGGCTTGTATTGACAAGGAAAAGGCTTGAGATTTTTGGGTTTTTGTCAACTTGAAGGTATAAACTTTAAGGATGTAGACAAAAGTTTCAAACATTTCCTCAATCTATTTGTTACCTAAATTTGCACATAGCTTGTGTGCAATGATGTTTCCTTTGAAATGGCCTCTTCATTTAGAAGCCTGCTGTCTTCTCATGGCCTTTCATGAAGTGTCCCTCACACATTCCAGAGGCTACTTTGCAAGGATCCCACAGGACTAACTCTGTCCATGTGGCGTGGTGCCCAGCACCCCTGATGCCCAGGCCAGGAGAAAGCTGGCCACTTGTCCTCTTGTTCTCAGTATTTCCTTTTTTTGAATGTAATGTTTTTCTTGTAGCTTAGGCGAATGTTTGTAGAGAAAGTTTGCTTTCAGTCAACACTGGATATGTGTCTTGTCTGGAGGCTGGTCATTGCCCCTCAGTAAACCTGTGTTCTCTCTGCTTCTCTCTTGGTCTCCTGCTTCCCCTGACCCCTGCCGTGTGTGTCTCACAGTGACCAGCAGAGACTGTGTTTATAGGGACATCAGCTGTTGTTCTGTGAGTCCACCAAGGAACGAGCAGTCAATGTGTGCTCCGTTTCTCTGCTTCCTCTGAAGAGATGCTGGCAGGTGGTGTGCAGAAGGGTTCAGAACACACCCTGGCAGCACTCGGGCTCATGTTCTCCTCAACCGTACTTTAAGCATCAACGTTTTGTACAAAATCAAGTGATTTTTCACTCACCTTAGAAAAAGAGAACATGAAAACAAATGACCCAAGTGCAGCAGCTCATCCCGAGAGCGGTCAGGGTGAGAGCGGGGGAGGGGAGAGACTTTGATTCACGTACATGGAACTGTGAGTGTTGACCTCTGTGTCTCTTCTTTTTCTTCTTTGTGAAGAGCTCTCAGCACCTCACCTGCACCACTGGACACATGTGGGCAGCTGTTTGTGCAGACGAGGACGGGGCAGGAAGTTCTGACGCGCGTGAAGGACTTCATGGTGCGGCACGTCCTCCCTGCAGAGCAGGTGAGTCGTGTCCCCAGCTCAGCCCGTGGGATGCTGGACGCTGCCACCTCTGCGTCTGGGGAAGGTGCACTGCTCTCCTGATCTTCATCAGTCCCCTGCCCACCTCTACAGAGGTGCACCCTCACCTCAGGACCCCTGGGCCTCAGTCTCCCCTACACCCTTCTGTACCCTCACCCCAGGACCCCTGGGCCTTAGTCTCCCCTACACCCTTCTCCCCTACGCCCCTATGTACTCTCACTCCAGGACCCCTGGGCCTCAGTCTCCTCTAGACCTCCCCTCTGTATCCTCACCCCAGGATTCCTAGTCCTCCTGGTTTGCAGAATGAAAACTAAGCCACACATCTTGAAAACGCTGCTTGGCATCACAGGATGTTAACAGATAAGATACCATTTCAGGGTGTCATTGGGCTTGAGGGTCACACTGTACAAAAATTCATTCTGTTAACAAGAAGATGGGCAGTCTCCTCCTGTGAAGTTTACAGACCCCTAAAAACTCACTGGCAGCCCAGCTGTGATTGGGATCTGCCTTGGCAGCTGTGAGGTGAATTTCTGTAAGTTGGGCATGGTCTGTGCCCCTAACACAGAGGCTGGGCCTCTGACAGCCAAGTCTCCCTACAGATCTGGGGAGCACTGCAGGCTCCTCATGATTGAACAGCTTTGGGGGCTCAGCAGAGACTCTTCTGGGGTGACAACATGATTTGATGGCCGTAGGTGATGGATAATGGGCTGATGAGCCCTGGCGACATCCAGTGGGAGGTGGGCTGCTAACCTGTCAGCGTGTCTGGGAGATGCTCTGTGAGCATGTGGGGGTGGCAGGACACTGGTGTGGGAGCCAGAGGGCCTGGGGGGAGTGGGGCATGGCAGGACAGTGATATGGGATCTGAGGCAAAGCTGCACTTTCCGTCTCCTGTGGTTGATCATTCTGAGAACCACATCCCCTCAGTGTGTTACTGTCCACCATAGAGTCCTGTCCATTGTCTGTGTGAACGGTGATTCCTCACACGTGTTCCTGTCCACTTGATAGTCCTGTCTGCTGTTTGTGTGAGCGGTGATCCCTGGGACCACCTTCAGTTAGAACTGGCTGTTTAAAGTTGAGGAAATTATTTCTATCACAGTCACCTTTTGTTTGAATCCAGTAATTAATGGATCACTTTGAGACTTGCTATTCTATTTTTTTTTTCCTATCAATTTTGAGTTTTAAAATGTTGCCCTTTTAAGCATGTAAAAAAGGTTAATTGCTTTTGGTTGAAATGTAAACTGAATTCAACATTCACCTGCTGTCCCTCAAATAAAATTACACTGAAATAACAGCATTTGAAAACAAACACGTAACGTGGTGATGACACAACAGGGCAGGATGGGAGGACTCTGCAGTTAAGCTGGGAGTAGGGAAGGGCGCAGGACGGACTGTTCTGGGCAGTGGAACAGACACAGAGGTGAGACATGTACAGCAGGCTGGGAGGCCCTTGCCGCAGAGGACCCTGAGATCTCAAGTGCAGGAGAGAGACCAGGATGAAGGATCAGGACGCTTGACTGAAGAATTCTCTGCAGAGAGGCTGCTGAGCTTGGCCGTGGACGCCTGGGCAGCAGCAGGTTCCCCAGCAGACAGAGGCCAAAGTTGTACCCTAAGAGATGGTCCCTTGCAAGGAGCCGGGCTTCCAGGGCCCTCGTCTTCTCCGTGTGGGCTTTCTGTTTCGCCTGTGGAGGGGCTTTGCCCCTTAGCCTGTCTGGTTCCCACCCACCACCAACTCTGTTGTCCGAGTCAGTTTCTGCTCTTGGAAGAGTAGAGCCACAGGGCTGCCCAGCCTGCAGTCTCTGTGGGAAGAGTCCTTGTGAGGTACAGTCACATGCTGACATGTTAACTGGAAAGCCAGGAGTTCAAATCCACTGGCCTTCCGCGGGGAGAGATGAGGCCAGCTGCTACCATGAAGGCTGCCCACCTCAGAGCTGTGGGGCACTTCAGCTGGCTCGTAGAGTCACCGTGAGGCCCTCTCCCCACACACGGCCTGTGTGGTGCTGTAGAATCTTTATGGAGGCAAGCTTGCTCTTCCGCAGAGTGGCTGGCTGGCTACACTGCCCACCTGTTGATAGCGAACATTTAAGCAACTGCTGATAAGCCTCAAAGCCAGCCTTCCATGTGGAGTCTACCTCAACATGAGGAAAGCCTAAATCCTCCCAACTGTACACTGTTTCATGGTAAATGGAGAAAAGGTTGACATTGTAAAGGATCTCACTTTACTTTGATATTCAACACTGTTGAAACAGAGGTCAAGGGATCAAAAAGTTGGGCAAATCTGCTGGCAGGAACCACTTTAAAGTGCTCAAGTGTGTCAGTTTAAAGACTAAGGTGCACCTGATCAACACCATGCATTTCCAACTGCTTCATATACCTATGAAAGTTGGATATTGAATAAGGAAAACAGAAGAACGTATGCCTTTGCCTTGGTGAAGAGTCTTGGGTATACTAGGGACAGAATAAATAGAATAAATGGGTCTGTCCTGGAGAAATGCAGCCGGAGTGCTCCACAGGGACACAGACGGTGTGAAACTTCATGCAGACAACTTCAATGTCTGGGGGGAGAGGGGGCGGTCCCTAGAGAAACACATCATGTTTGACACAGCGACTTCAAAATCCTTAGCTCTAAGAGAGAGGCAAATCAAAACAACTATGAGATATCATCTCACCTCAGTAATAATTGCAAAATTTAACAGAACAGCAAACAACAAATGCTGGTGAGGTTGTGGTAAACTGGAACCCTTATTCATTGTTGGTGGGAGTGTAAAATGGTGCAACCACTATGGAAGGCAGTATGGCGCTTTCTCAAAAAGTTGCAAATAGAAATACCATTTGACCCAGCAATTCCACTACTGGAAATATACCTCAAAGAAACCATAACTGCCACCCAAGCAGATATATGCACACCCATATTTATTGAAGCTTTGTTCGCAATAGCAAAGAGTTGGAAACAACCCAAGTGCCCATCAACAAACAAATGGATAGAGAAGCTGTGGTATATTCACACAATAAAATACTATGCTGCATTGAAAAACAAGGAACTCATGCAATATTATTCAAAGTGGGTGACCCTGGAGGACATTATACTGAGTGAACTATCTCAGTCACAAAAGGACAATACTGCACAGTGCCATTGTTGTAAAATGGGACTGACATCGGGGTTGAGGGAAGACTGAGAAAGAGGGAGTAAATATACTGCATTGAAACAGAGGAAGAGAATTGTGTAAAAGGAATATAGGATTAGGTATTATTGTCATGACTGGAGTGCAGAATGAAGGCTGCACAGTGGAGGGGACTTTGGGGGAGGGATTACATGTGAAAGAGTTTTTCTTTTACTTTTCAAAGAGCAAACTGGGAGGGGAGGCGTGGGCAGGGAGAAAAGTGCAATAATGAATGAATGGAAATCCAAAGTCTCTAAATGTTCATTAAAATTAATTAAAAAAATAAAAATACAAAACCCCCCAACAATGGAGTAAGCACAGAGGTGGTGGTGAGCGAGGGGCAGTACAGGCAGGCTTCCTCCTACTGTATAGTCCCTGTGAATCAGGGAGGCTGCAGTACCTCCCTCAATGTCCGAACAAAAACCAGACCAGCGGAGTCTGGGAAGTGAGGTTGTGTTGGGTCCTGATCTGCATGTTGACCGTAGTGTCTTTTTCTCTCTTCGTAACTCTTTCATCATAGAACCTTTTCAATAGACTTTATAATTGTGAATAAGCTTCCTTTAAATATCCTAATGGTCTTTTAAACTTCACTGATGTCTGAAAGTGATATGAAGGTTGAGGACATACGAGTCTATTCGTTTACAATATTAAAAGCCCATTCTTCCTTTATAAAATGGGTAAGAAATCCTAAAAATAGTATGTTAATATAACCCAGCAGTATGATGTTATTATTAAGAAAACACTTTCAACCTAAAGGTAGTATTAATCATATTTTCCTACTGACTCTAATAGACCGGGGAAAAACTGTTGGCTTCTTTCTTTCCAGCAGGCTTGAGTTTAAAATGAAAAACATATTATAGGTCAAAATTACTTGTAGACTCAGCTAACATTATGACCTAGTATATCCAAAGATGCATCTCAAGAGGATACATGGCTGAAAAACCTGCATCTTACAGGAAATATTTCGGAAAGACTGACCAGCTATCAGAAATAGTTTCTGCATTTTTTTCTCATCAACAAAATGTTTTCCATATTTTAAAAGTGAAACTTTTTTGAGATGAGAATTTTTATTCTGAGTCCTGGCACACCACAGATGAAGCTTGCAGACCCACCTAACCCTCAAACGCATGGCCACTGAACTGGTTTCACTCATGGAGTGACCATCTACGGGGGCCCCAGGGCTGCCCATCTCTCCCACAGAGCAGTGATGACTTTGAACCACTGACCTTTCAGTTAACACTACACCACCTCAGCTCATTGGGTTTTTATACAGGGAATAGTAAGTGATGAGTACTTTTAAAAAATGACATAAATGCTGGCATAATTTAATTTCTCAGCACTGTAGCCTCATAAAAATGTAATATGAGATTAGCTCATCGTAAATGTCTTGCACAATGTATTTCTTATCAAGTGCAATAGCTTTCCCATGGCAGCATGGAGGGTGGGACTTGAGAGCCACCCGCTTGGATAGCCCCAGTTTCCGGGCCCAGCGGCCACGTTGGCGCCTCCTTCACTGAGGGCACTTTCCCCCTCGGGTGATTGCTGGGCACAGCTCCAGGTGTCCTTTATCTTGTGTGCAGAGTCATTTGGAAAAGTGGCATAAGGTGTTTGACTACATCTGTGATCTTTAGCCCTGAAGTTCTACTGATCTAAAGTGGACACGAAGGAACAGACGCGGAGGAGGTGTAACAGCACAGTGTTTAAGATTGCTGTTCTAAATGTACAAGTCATATTGGGATTCTTTAAATTACAGGAATTAGAGATTATTGTTGTAATTTGATAAACTAGTTCTTAAGTGTACCCATTTATTGCTGTTTTTTCCCC